GGCACCTGTGTGCCGATTTTGAACGAAATCGGGGGGACCCCCATTGACCCAAAATTTTGATTTTCCCGTAAAAACTTTCCTATGGGAAAAAAGTGGAATTTTCCTAAGGGACTGTGTCTGGGTAAACGAGAGCTTTCGATTGATACCCATTTTTACCATAGCACCACTTTTTTGTCCGTACAAAGGCGATTTTACGGATATTTTACGAGTCTAGGGGGCTTTACGGGCCTTAAACGTCAATGCAACGGGGACCGTTTTGGGGAAAGTTTCTCGGCTGGTAGTGGGGCACCTGTGTGCCGATTTTGAACGAAATCGGGGGGGACCCCCATTGACCCAAAATTTTGATTTTCCCGTAAAAACTTTCCTATGGGGAAAAAGTGGAATTTTCCTGCAGGACTGTGTCTGGGTAAACGAGAGCTTTCGATTGATACCCATTTTCACCATAGCGCCCCGTTTTTGGCCGTACAAGGGCGAATTTACGGATTTTTTACGAGTTTACGGGGCTTTAAGGGCCTTAAACGTCAATGCAACGGGGACCGTTTTGGGGAAAGTTTCTCGGCTGGTGGTGGGGCACCTGTGTGCCGATTTTGAACGAAATCGGGGGGGACCCCCCATTGACCCAAAATTTTGATTTTCCCGTAAAAACTTTCCTATGGGAAAAAGTGGAATTTTCCTGCAGGACTGTGTCTGGGTAAACGAGAGCTTTCGATTGATACCCATTTTTACCATAGCACCACTTTTTTGTCCGTACAAAGGCGATTTTACGGATATTTTACGAGTCTAGGGGGCTTTACGGGCCTTAAACGTCAATGCAACGGGGACCGTTTTGGGGAAAGTTTCTCGGCTGGTGGTGGGGCACCTGTGTGCCGATTTTGAACGAAATCGGGGGGGACCCCCCATTGACCCAAAATTTTGATTTTCCCGTAAAAACTTTCCTATGGGGAAAAAGTGGAATTTTCCTGCAGGACTGTGTCTGGGTAAACGAGAGCTTTCGATTGATACCCATTTTAACCATAGCGCCCCGTTTTTGGCCGTACAAGGGCGAATTTACGGATTTTTTACGAGTTTACGGGGCTTTAAGGGCCTTAAACGTCAATGCAACGGGGACCGTTTTGGGGAAAGTTTCTCGGCTGGTGGTGGGGCACCTGTGTGCCGATTTTGAACGAAATCGGGGGGGACCCCCCATTGACCCAAAATTTTGATTTTCCCGTAAAAACTTTCCTATGGGGAAAAAGTGGAATTTTCCTGCAGGACTGTGTCTGGGTAAACGAGAGCTTTCGATTGATACCCATTTTAACCATAGCGCCCCGTTTTTGGCCGTACAAGGGCGAATTTACGGATTTTTTACGAGTTTACGGGGCTTTAAGGGCCTTAAACGTCAATGCAACGGGGACCGTTTTGGGGAAAGTTTCTCGGCTGGTGGTGGGGCACCTGTGTGCCGATTTTGAACGAAATCGGGGGGGACCCCCCATTGACCCAAAATTTTGATTTTCCCGTAAAAACTTTCCTATGGGAAAAAAGTGGAATTTTCCTGCAGGACTGTGTCTGGGTAAACGAGAGCTTTCGATTGATACCCATTTTTACCATAGCACCACTTTTTTGTCCGTACAAAGGCGATTTTACGGATATTTTACGAGTCTAGGGGGCTTTACGGGCCTTAAACGTCAATGCAACGGGGACCGTTTTGGGGAAAGTTTCTCGGCTGGTGGTGGGACACCTGTGTGCCGATTTTGAACGAAATCGGGGGGGACCCCCCATTGACCCAAAATTTTGATTTTCCCTTAAAAACTTTCCTATGGGGAAAAAGTGGAATTTTCCTGCAGGACTGTGTCTGGGTAAACGAGAGCTTTCGATTGATACCCATTTTCACCATAGCGCCCCGTTTTTGGCCGTACAAGGGCGAATTTACGGATTTTTTACGAGTTTACGGGGCTTTAAGGGCCTTAAACGTCAATGCAACGGGGACCGTTTTAGGGAAAGTTTCTCGGCTGGTGGTGGGGCACCTGTGTGCCGATTTTGAACGAAATCGGGGGGGACCCCCCATTGACCCAAAATTTTGATTTTCCCGTAAAAACTTTCCTATGGGAAAAAAGTGGAATTTTCCTGCAGGACTGTGTCTGGGTAAACGAGAGCTTTCGATTGATACCCATTTTTACCATAGCACCACTTTTTTGTCCGTACAAAGGCGATTTTACGGATATTTTACGAGTCTAGGGGGCTTTACGGGCCTTAAACGTCAATGCAACGGGGACCGTTTTGGGGAAAGTTTCTCGGCTGGTGGTGGGGCACCTGTGTGCCGATTTTGAACGAAATCGGGGGGGGGACCCCCCATTGACCCAAAATTTTGATTTTCCCGTAAAAACTTTCCTATGGGGAAAAAGTGGAATTTTCCTGCAGGACTGTGTCTGGGTAAACGAGAGCTTTCGATTGATACCCATTTTAACCATAGCGCCCCGTTTTTGGCCGTACAAGGGCGAATTTACGGATTTTTTACGAGTTTACGGGGCTTTAAGGGCCTTAAACGTCAATGCAACGGGGACCGTTTTGGGGAAAGTTTCTCGGCTGGTGGTGGGGCACCTGTGTGCCGATTTTGAACGAAATCGGGGGGACCCCCCATTGACCCAAAATTTTGATTTTCCTGTAAAAACTTTCCTATGGGAAAAAAGTGGAATTTTCCTGCAGGACTGTGTCTGGGTAAACGAGAGCTTTCGATTGATACCCATTTTTACCATAGCACCACTTTTTTGTCCGTACAAAGGCGATTTTACGGATATTTTACGAGTCTAGGGGGCTTTACGGGCCTTAAACGTCAATGCAACGGGGACCGTTTTGGGGAAAGTTTCTCGGCTGGTGGTGGGGCACCTGTGTGCCGATTTTGAACGAAATCGGGGGGGGGACCCCCCATTGACCCAAAATTTTGATTTTCCCGTAAAAACTTTCCTATGGGGAAAAAGTGGAATTTTCCTGCAGGACTGTGTCTGGGTAAACGAGAGCTTTCGATTGATACCCATTTTCACCATAGCGCCCCGTTTTTGGCCGTACAAGGGCGAATTTACGGATTTTTTACGAGTTTACGGGGCTTTAAGGGCCTTAAACGTCAATGCAACGGGGACCGTTTTGGGGAAAGTTTCTCGGCTGGTGGTGGGGCACCTGTGTGCCGATTTTGAACGAAATCGGGGGGGACCCCCCATTGACCCAAAATTTTGATTTTCCCGTAAAAACTTTCCTATGGGAAAAAAGTGGAATTTTCCTGCAGGACTGTGTCTGGGTAAACGAGAGCTTTCGATTGATACCCATTTTTACCATAGCACCACTTTTTTGTCCGTACAAAGGCGATTTTACGGATATTTTACGAGTCTAGGGGGCTTTACGGGCCTTAAACGTCAATGCAACGGGGACCGTTTTGGGGAAAGTTTCTCGGCTGGTGGTGGGGCACCTGTGTGCCGATTTTGAACGAAATCGGGGGGGACCCCCCATTGACCCAAAATTTTGATTTTCCCGTAAAAACTTTCCTATGGGGAAAAAGTGGAATTTTCCTGCAGGACTGTGTCTGGGTAAACGAGAGCTTTCGATTGATACCCATTTTCACCATAGCGCCCCGTTTTTGGCCGTACAAGGGCGAATTTACGGATTTTTTACGAGTTTACGGGGCTTTAAGGGCCTTAAACGTCAATGCAACGGGGACCGTTTTGGGGAAAGTTTCTCGGCTGGTGGTGGGGCACCTGTGTGCCGATTTTGAACGAAATCGGGGGGGGACCCCCCATTGACCCAAAATTTTGATTTTCCCGTAAAAACTTTCCTATGGGAAAAAAGCGGAATTTTCCTGCGGGACTGTGTCTGGGTAAACGAGAGCTTTCGATTGATACCCATTTTTACCTCTTTGTGACGTCATTTCTAGGGGAAAACGGGTCATAAAGGTTTCCCTCTACCGGGGCCTTTTTTCCCCCTACCGAATCTGTGCTGTGCTGAATCTGTGCTGAATCTGTGCCAACTTCCGTTACATATGCTTTGAGACATATTTTGACGCACTTGCTTCAAAATACATGTTCTTGTATTCGCTCAAGAACAAACTACACCAATCAGGTGTCTTAATAGAAGTCCGTTGTTGGCGGTCCTCAGTTTCGATTGGTAAAATTTGTATGTAGGCAGCTTTTTGGAAAATATAAACACAATCATGCAGGTTGAATGTGGATCGTGGACTTGCTTGCGGGAGGTTCAGATTATTGTGATTTTGATTTGTATGAAATTATCAGTGACTGCGTGACTACTGACTGTTAGTGCCTGGGCATTTAGTGGGCATTTATACAGCTTTTACTCGTCATAAATACGGTTAGTTATTTTACTTTTATTCTGAGATCAGGTATCAGGAGATACATTCCAAAAATGATACTTATATCAATATAAGTATCATTATATTGATATAAGTATCAATATAATGACGCGACGCGAAGCAAGCGGCAAGCCGCTTGCTTCGCGTCGCGAGGATATGGCTTGCGCATAATTGGCCAGTTCGAGTAGTAATGGTTTTGTGTAATAGTGACTTGTAGAAGCCTTGATGTACGCGAAAAGGTGAATGATGCGGTCCAAATGGATAAAATTCAAATAAATGGGTCATTGACCAAACCAATTCAGACTGATAAGCTACCTACTTGGATATGTGGTTCAAATAATTTACTACACATAGGTTATGTTTATAATAACGTTTCAGGCATAGTCACGTTTCAGGCACAGGTACTAAGTTGTGAGTGAATCGCAATTAGCAAATCCAGCTGGACTGAAGTAATTAGGTACAATAGTGAAAATTGGGTAATGACAAAACAATTCGTAAATCAATTCTCACCTGTGCTTTGTGTGGCTCTTAGCGTTACCCACAATCGCCACGAGGAGGCGGCCACAATGAATTGCAGATGGATCTCTTTTTAACAGAAAAGAGACCCCGCAGGTGGTTCAAAGCGTAACCGATGCCTGCGGGTAGAGAAACTGGGCGGTGTCCTGCCGGCTCACAGCACGTCCCGGTAGACGACGTTGGCGGTCCGTCCACCGCTGCCCGGCGGCAGGACGAAGCGCAGGTCCCGCCAGCGGCCGACCCTGGACGCGGCAACATAGAGCTGTCCGTGGCCGAACACGGGCTCTCGCAGAAGGACGGCCACCCGCCGGAGCGTCTGACCTTGCGCTTTGTTGATTGTGAGCGCAAAGGCGGGCCGCACCGGGAACTGGCGCCGCCGCCACTCGAACGGGAAGGCGTCGTCCGGCGGCTGCAGCGTCAGGCGGGGGATGAGAACCCGGCGACCGGCCGCGCTGCCGCAGGCCACGGTCGCCTCCAGGAGCCGGCCGCCGTGGACGGCCACCACCAGGAGCCGGGTGCCGTTACACAGTCCCCTGGCCGGGTCGATGTTTCGGAGCAGGATGACCGGCATGCCGGGCTTCAAAAGCAGGTGATGAGGCGGGAGGCCCGGCACACACAGCCCGTTGAGGTACTCCTGGGGTACCGGCTCCTGCTCCTCCCCGACGGTGTCGTCTGCGCTGAGGCACTCCACGGCCTGGCCCGGGAAGATGTCGGTGACATAACTGTTCACCGAGTCGACGGTGCTGTTAGTGGGCGCCAGCACGGCGCGGGACGCCATGCTGTCGGCGTCGGTCAGGTTGCCGAAGGTCCAGTCGATGACGGCCGGCAACTCGGCTTCCAGCACCAGCGCCGGCGGCAGGGTGACCCGTCCCTCGGCGTCTGTGGGCAGCTCGCCGTTGCCGAGCTGCAGCAGCCAGGTGGAGAACTCCTCCAGCTCGGCCTGTTGGTTCTCCTCCTGCGCCAGCCTGGCGCGCATGTTTTCCCTCAGCCGGTGCACTCTGAAGTGGCGCCACAGCGGCGAGCGACGGAGACTGGCGTCCACGATGCCTGCCTGGTTGGCGTGCCGGACGACAGGCAGAACCTGCCGGAAGTCGCCGCCCAGCACCACCACCTTGCCGCCGAACAGCTGCTCGGACCCCGTCAGGTCGCGCAGCGTCCGGTCGAGGCCCTCGATGTGGTGCCGGTGCGCCATCGGAGCCTCATCCATCACGATGAGGCGCGCTAACCGGATCAGCTGGGCGAGCTCGCTCTGGGCGGGGATGTTAAAGATGGCGGTGTCGTCCGGTCGCAGAGGAGCTTTAAAACGGCTGTGAAAAGTCCTCCCGCTGTCCAGCAGTGTAGCGGCGATACCGCTGAACGCCACGGCAAGTGCCACCAGGCCCTTGGCTCGCACCGCAGAGATGAGCAGATTGAAAGTAAATGTCTTGCCAGTGCCACCTGGCGCGTCCAAGAATAGGGCGAGCGGCTCCTGGCCGTCGACCGCGGCCAGCACCGTGTCCACCGCCTGGCGCTGATCCGGCAGTAGGCCTGGCAGCCGCTGGTCGACGGTGTGCTGAAGGTCGGCTCGGTCGAAGTCGACCTCCTCCCGTATAATGGGAGGCAGGCGCCGCAGCTCCTCGGCCCCCTCCAAGGCGGCGGCCGCTGCTTGGTGTTCAGCTGGCACGGGCGGCAGGCCGAAGTCCTCCAGCGTCTTGCCGGCCCGCTGGAGGGAGTCGCTGATGCGCAGTAGCACCAGTCCCGTCACCGTCTCCGGCGGCAGCTCTGGGTGGCGGCGGGCGAAGTCTTCTCCCATTGCTGCCTGGAACCGGTGGAGGAGGGCTGCGGGATCGGCCGGCGCGCAAAATAGCAGCACCACCACAAACAGCTGCCTGAGCTGGCCGGGGCGCTGGGTGCGGACGGCCTCAGCCAGCGTCTCCGCCCACTCCTGGTCGTCCTGGAGCAGGCCACGCCGCCGACACGCCTCTTGGTGTGTGTCGCACACCTGGCCGTCCACCGTGCGCAGATCGGCGAATGTCGTGGCGCCGGGGACGTGATGCAGCAATACCCGGAGGTAGAATACATCCCCGTGCCTGGGTGTGAGACTCACCACCCGGCCGATGGTGGGCGCCGCCTGCATGTTGCGGCGCCGGTGCCACCGCTTCTGGCCGGCGTCCCAGCGGTACTTCTGGGGGAAGTCCGGGTAGAGCACCCGGAGGCACTCGGGGTCCTCGCCGGCCGACGCCCGGTTGTAGGTCATCCAGGCAGTCAGCTGCGTGTGGCGCGGCTCCCCAGCCACTGCCTGCCGCTCCTCCCCAGGCTGGAAGAAGATCAGCTGATGGTCTTCGAGATGAACCTGTAGCGCCAGCACCGCTGGTGACCGGTCGCTCATCTCGAAGCTGAACAGCCGCCAGCATGCTTCGCTCGCACCAATGGAGCGGAGGTCTCGGAAGGCTGCCACCTCGTCCTGACCGGCCTCGATCAGCTGATCTGCGCGGACCATCTGCCGGTCGGAGCCCTTGTAAATGTACATAAAAATGTACTTAACTCCGTCCACAGAGGAGCACACCTCCACGTTGATGTGACACTCGTAGCGAAGGCTGAGGAGCGGATTGTAGGGCACGACCCACTGGTTCGTCACCATCCTCCCATTGTGCTCCGCCTGCTGGCCGCCGTCCTCGGGGCCGCGCCTCCGGTACTGGGGGTACGTGCGGTCCTCCTGCCAGATGGTCTCGTGGGAGAGCGGTTTCGGGAACCGTTTGGAGCACTGACCGTCTTTCATGCAGGTGGCGGTCGGCCGAGCAGCGCCGCACTCGTTGTGAACCATGCTGGTGAGGACAATCTGCTGCAGACGGGCCGACTGCGGCGATTCGGTGGGGTCCGGCAGCTCCGCCGAGACGATCGTGTCCGCATCGGCGCCGGTCCGAGGCCGGTCCTCCGGCTGCAGGATGAGCAGGAGATGACAGTGAGGCAGGCCTGCAAACAAAAAGAAAATGTCAGACTCACGATTTTGATGCGTTCTAGTGTGACCTGGAATCGCTTGACTGATATTTAAAGATGCGTAGCTTCGGTACGTTAGTATGGTAGAGGGTACGCAAACTGACACGCAGCGGTATTTTGTCGTTTTTAATACACTGCCACGGACTTTATGTTACAAAATGGGTGCCCTCAGATTTAACTTTTAAGTGAATTATATGGCAACGCCAGCGCCTATACTGGCCGGAATGCGACTGGTTGTCGCAGATGATTTGCGTTAATACGACAGAAGCTAGGCAACCCGCCATGGAGCCGTATATTGCTGGATAGTCTAACAATAAGTAAATTTATATTCGCCCTCAGAAGCTAAAGCAACGCGAAGCATTTCAGACTGGTATAGCTCAACCGATTGTCGCAGATGATTTGCGTTAATACGACAGAAGCTATAGGCAACCCGCCATGCAGCCGTGTCTTGCGGGACAGTCTAACAATAAGTGAATTATATGGAAACGCCAGCGCCTGTACTGGCCGGAATAGCTCGACTGGTTGTCGCAGATGATTTGCGTTAATACGACAGAAGCTAGGCAACCCGCCATGCAGCCGTGTATTGCGGGATAGTCTAAAAATAAGTGAATTTATATTCGCCCTCAGAAGCTAAAGCGACGCGAAACATTTCTGACTGGTATAGCTCAACCGATTGTCGCAGATGATTTGCGTTAATACGACAGAAGCTAGGCAACCCGCCATGCAGCCGTGTATTGCGGGATAGTCTAACAATAAGTGAATTTATATTCGCCGTCAAAAGGTAAAACAACGCGAAGCACTATGAACTTTACACGACGAAATCTTTCTCACGTTGACTTCTTCGATCATATTTATTTGGCCGTTAAGGCGTGAGCTTTAAATCGGAATAAATGTGCATATTGGTGGGGTGCGTGTCACGTCCCCCCGCGACTGAGCTCATGTCTGTTCAGGTATTTCTGTCAAAGCCATGTTGTGACTTACCGCGCTTCTGAAACTCGATGACCCACATGAAGGCGCTCGGCTTGCCGAAGACGGCCTGCTTGGTCAGGTCCCCGATGATGCGGCGGAGCTTGAGGTGGAACACTCGCGCCACCAAGTCGGGTCGATCCTCGGGCTTCTGTCCGGGCAACAGGGCGTTTGCGATCTCCGGCCACTTCGGATTACACGTGATGGTAATGAAGAGGGTCGGCTTCCCCTTGGCCCTCACGATGGCCATGGCGTCCATGTAACTGCAAAGTTGAGGAAAAATGTAGATAATATTAGATGGTTGTTTGAAGGTAACATTTACCGTAGAACCAAAAGCATGACTATGGGCAGAAAATAGTCCAAACACAAAGCTGTTGACGGTTGTTTGAAAGTGACATTTGTCGTAGAACCAAAAATATGACCACCTGGCACCTGTAGGCAGATTATAGTCCAAACAAAAATGAATTGGCGAAAACTAACTTATTCGTTAAATGTGAGCACAGGTGTTTGTTCGTTTTTTAACGTTGCTATGCTGACTTGAGTGCATTATGATGCATTCAAGCAAATTTAATATGAGTGGTAATAGTGCAAATAAGACTTCAGCGAATACAAAATAGTTGTTAGTAATTTAAGATTGGTGTTTGTTTGCGTAGCTCACCGTTGCCTCATATGGCGGGGTCCACCGATGAAAGTAGCCGGCAGAACGACTCGTCTGCCGACGACCGGTACACCAGCCTGCTCACGTCCCTCCTCGGGCTGCTCCTGCTGGCCGAGCTCCGCGTCAGCCGCCACGGCGTCACGGACGCTCTGGTAGAGGTCCGCCCGGATCTCGCGCTGGTGAGTGGAGATGTACTTCAGCCGGATGGCCTCGACCTTGGCGTAGGCCATACAGACAAACTCTTGAAACAGGCGACCGGCGCGGTGGAGGCTGTCGTCCTGGTGGGGCCTGATCTGGAGCCGGTACGCGTAAAACTGGAGCGTTGTCACCATTCGCTGCCGCTCCCTGCCGGGCTGCGGCGCCTGAGCAATCGCCGGGTGCCACCCTGTAGTCCCCAGAGGAAACAGGAGGACGAAATGGAGTGGGTCACACGCTCGGTGGCTCTCATCGATGGTCTGCAGCACGCCGGTCCCGCCATCAGCTCGGCGGCGCAGTACCAGGTCGTGCTGTCCGGGCTCCTCTCCCATGAGGACCGCCACCTCGCGCAGTCCCTCGGCGGCGTTGTAGCGGCGCGCGTGCTCGCCGGCGGGTCGGGCTGCAACGCTGATGATCAGCTGCCGGTGTTCCACCTCCTGTGCCAGGACCTCGGCAGCCATGATGAAATCGTGCACCCAGGGGTTGACTTGGCGCAGCATGGCCTGAAGCTGTCCCAGCAGGTCCAGCAGCCGGTGCTGCACGGCGGCAGAGGTCGCTGCCGGCAGGCGCACATGACCGAGTCGAATGGCCGCTTCAGCCTCCGGATCTTCGGCCAGCGGGTCGCTTATGTATATCTGGGCGAAGGAGGGTGGCCGGTCTTCAGGGACTTCCAGCGGCCCAAGTCGGTGGTACAGCCGCCCCTGCACCACCACACACGGTGCGTACCCGCCGGTGCCTGCAGGCGGCGGCACCTCACGCACGGACAAAGACGATAGGGCCAGCGCTGAGTTGAGGTGCCGGACGTACTTCCGGAAGGTGCGCGCCTCTAAGGTGTCATCAGTCCAAAGGCGGCGTAAGACTGGCGGCGGGGCCGGGAGCGGGTCAAGGCGGACCTTGCCGCCTGCACAGCAGAACGTGGCGCGCTCACCCGCCCACCGCAGGGCTCCGCACGACGCACACACTTTCACCATCGCACCGACATCATCGGCCTCCACCACCTGCTCGCCGGACAAAACGTCCGCCGGCCGGCGGGCCGCAAGCGAGGCTGGCCTCGCACGGGCGGCAGCGCGCTGCTGCTGATGGCGCCGGGCGTCTTCAGCACGCTGAGCGTGCCTGGCGTCCTCGTCCTGTTCCTCGCGATGTTGACGGACGCGCGCCGCGGTGGCCTCACGCTCGGCCTGCGTCGCTTCCTCCTCATGCGCCTCGCGCTGCAGGCGGAGGCGCTCAGCGTTGGCCTCCAACTCTGCCCGCCTGGCCTCTTCATCTTGCGCCGCTCGCTGCAGGCGGAGGCGCTCAGCGTTGGCCTCCAACTCCGCCCGCCTTGCCTCTTCATCTTGCGCCGCTCGCTGCTGGCGGAGGCGCTCAGCGTTGGCCTCCAACTCCGCCCGCCTGGCCTCCTCCTCCTGTGCGGCTCGGAACGCGCGCTGCCTCTCGGCGTTGAGCTGTCGCACCCGGTCGTCGTCCGCGCGCTCCCGCTGGCGAGCGGCCTCGGCCTCCCGTACCGCCTCCCTCTGCCGGCGCGCTCGCTGCTGGGCCGCGTTCCGTTCGGCCTCAGCTTGTCGCTCCGCCTCGGCCATACGGGCCCGACGACGGCGCTGGGCCGCTGCGTTAGCGGACACCGCCCGACGCATGACAATCACGTAATCGGGTACATTTACGAAATATGCAACAAAAAACGAACTACTTACAACACTTGAAAACAAAACACTTATTACTCTTTGGATAACTATCCTGGTCTAATCTATCGACTAAAATACGCCAACGTTGTTTACATTCATATTTGCCGCGCTACCAAGACAATCAAGAGTTTTTTTCTAATTCCGACCCCCAACAGACACGATATGGTCTGAGCACAGAATCTGGTAGCATCACGTGACTTGATTAGGACAGTTTATTGATATTTTATTGTGAAGTTACCCAAATACTGCTTGAGTTAGCACTCAAAATACACTTTGAACTTTTAATAATTTTGGTTGGGTGAAAACATTGCAAAACACAAAATTCATCAGAATAGTCATGTGAGTGTTGAGAAATGTCACATGCGCGTCAGATCTGTAATTTGGGCTTATCTCAAAGATCCGATCTACCTGTTTCTTAAAGGCATTTTATTTCATGACGGGAAGAAATATCATTTTCGCAGCGAACAATCTGAGCCTAGGGCACGTGCTCTCTGCTCGGCGCCGGCCGCGGCCCAAAATGCTGCAAAGATGCGCCCGCCACGTGCAAACCGGCGAGCGCACCCCCACCAAAATTTAATACGACAAACAGATGCACGCGTCCGACTTGAGCCCAAAATTCCACCCCCGTAGCCCGCACCGTTCCGGAGCAATAGCTCGCCAAGCGTGACTGACGCGTTACATACATACATACGTACAGACATTTTGATTTTTATATATGTAATATGTCCTGGAAATAAAAGAAAAAACAGTCAAACCTGACCTAACCTTACCTATTTACCTACAACCTACCAACCTACAACGGCATTGGTAGAGCAGACGTCACACGAAGGGTTGCCACTCAAGTCACCGCTGAAAAGTCTCTAGAAGGTCTCTAGGGCTAGTGATTTTAACCTCGCAGCACGCAGGGGCGGCTTCAGGTACGAAATCTAGGGGAGCACAGCCGGTCGGAAAATGCCACGGAGGGTGCAGCCACAGGTGCAGCTACAACAGCTCACTGACTCACTGCAAATGCGAAGGTCACGGGTTCGAATCCCACCATGGCGTTGGCTCAGTGATCGACTTTATAGTACTTTTTCGAGTTTTAGGGGGTCGAGTTCAGCAGCATGAATGGTGCTACAGCCCACTGACTACTTCAAATGCAAAGGTCAGCGGTTCGAATCCCACCATGGCGTTGGCTCAGTGATCGACTTTATCGTACTTTTTCCGAGTTTTAGGGGTCGAGTTCAGCAGCATGAATGGTGCTACAGCCCACTGACACATTGCAAATGCGAAGGTCACGGGATCGAATCCCACCATGGCGTTGACTTAGTGGCCGACTTTATCGTACTTTTTCGAGTTTTAGGGGGTCGAGTTCAGCGGCATGAATGGTGTTACAGCCCACTGACTCACTTCAACTGCAAAGGTCAGCGGTTCGAATCCCACCATGGCGTTGGCTCAGTGATCGACTTTATCGTACTTTTTCCGAGTTTTAGGGGTCGAGTTCAGCAGCATGAATGGTGCTACAGCCCACTGACTCATTGCAAATGCAAAGGTCAGCGGTTCGAATCCCACCATGGCGTTGGCTCAGTGATCGACTTTATCGTACTTTTTCCGAGTTTTAGGGGTCGAGTTCAGCAGCATGAATGGTGCTACAGCCCACTGACTCATTGCAAATGCGAAGGTCACGGGATCGAATCTCACCATGGCGTTGACTTAGTGGCCGACTTTATCGTACTTTTTCGAGTTTTAGGGGGTCGAGTTCAGCGGCATGAATGGTGTTACAGCCCACTGACTCACTTCAAATGCAAAGGTCAGCGGTTCGAATCCCACCATGGCGTTGGCTCAGTGATCGACTTTATCGTACTTTTTCCGAGTTTTAGGGGTCGAGTTCAGCAGCATGAATGGTGCTACAGCCCACTGACTCATTGCAAATGCGAAGGTCACGGGATCGAATCCCACCATGGCGTTGACTTAGTGGCCGACATTATCGTACTTTTTCGAGTTTTAGGGGTCGAGATAGGCATTATGAATGGAGCTACAGCGCAATGACTCACTTCAAATCCAAAGGGGACGGGTTCGAATCACGCCATGGTGTTGACTTAGAGGCCGACTTTATAGTACTTTTTCGAGTTTTAAGGGGTCGAGATAAGCAGTATGAATGGTGCTACAGCCCACTGACTCTTTTCAAGCCCTCCCAGGCGCCATTGTGAGGGCCCTCAGAAACACTGGTGTGGGCACTGAACACAGCTCACTGACTCACTGCAAATGCGAAGGTCACGGGTTCGAATCCCACCATGGCGTTGGCTCAGTGATCGACTTTATCGTACTTTTTCCGAGTTTTAGGGGTCGAGTTCAGCAGCATGAATGGTGCTACAGCCCACTGACTCATTGCAAATGCAAAGGTCATGGGATTGAATCCCACAATGGCGTTGGCTCAGAGATCGACTTTATAGTATTTTTTCGAGTTTTAGGGGGTCGAGTTCAGCGGCATGAATGGTGTTACAGCCCACGGACTCACTACAAATGCAAAGGTCACCAGTTCGAATCCCACCATGACGTTGGCTCAGTGATCGACTTTATTGTACTTTTATGAATGGTACCAGAGGTGGAGATCTCGGGGGGTCGGGGGTCAGGATCCCCCCTGAAAACGAATTACTGCTATGTGAGTCAATGGTACTGCATCCAGCCCGCCTCCATCTGCCCGACCTGGACCCCCCACCCCTGAAATTTGGACAGATCTCCATCCCTGAATGGTACTACAGCTCACTGACTCACTTCAAATGGAAAGGTCATGGGATCAAATCTCACCATGGCGTTCGCTTAGTGGCCGACTTTATCGTACTTTTTCGAGTTCTAGGGGGTCGAGATCACCACTATGAATGGTATTGTAGCCCACTGACTCACTGTAAATACAAAAGTCACGGGTTCGAATCCCAGCATTTCGTTGGCTCAGTGACCAAATTCATCGTACTTTTTCGAGTTTTAGGGGATAGAGATCACCAGTATGAATGGTATTGCAGCCCACTGACTCGCTGGAAATACGAAAGTCACGGGTTCGAATCTCTGCATTTCGTTGGATCAGTGACCAACTTCATCGTACTTTTCCGAGTTTTGGAGATCAGCAGTCAGCACTATGGATGGAGCTACAGCTCAATGACTCACTTCAAATACAAAGGTCAGGGGTTCGAAACCCACTATGGCGTAGGCTCAGCGGCCGACATTAGCCGTTTTCACTACGGGCTATCCGGCGGGTGCACCTGATTTGACCAACTCTGCACCTAATCTCTTTTACAGCAAACATCTTCATTTTATGAATTTATTTCAGTGTTTTAATCGATCATGCTCTCTAATAATACGACAAAGCAGGCATATAAGCTGTTAGTGTAACCCTAGCTCATAGCTGATAGCTACTAAGAGACACACTGAACCTGTTTTGACCAAATCTGCACCTGACCTGCACCAGATGTGCACCAAATGTGTATCAGATGGCCGTCGTGAAAACGGCTATTATCTTTTTTCAAGTTTCAGGGGGTCGAGATCAGCAGTATGAATGGTGCTACAGCTCACTGGCTCACTTCAAATACAAAGGTCACCGGTTCGAATCCCACCATGACGTTGGCTCAGTAGCCGAAACTATCGTATTTTTTAGAGTTTCAAGGGGTCGAGAACAGCAGCATGAATGTTGTTACAGCCCACTGACTCACTTTAAATACAAAAGTCACGGCTTGAATCCCACCTTGGCGTTGGCTCAGTGAACGACTTAATCTTACCTTTTCGAGTTAAAGGGCGTCGGGATTACCATCATGAATGGTGCTACAGCCCACTGACTCACTTCAAATGCAAAGGTCACGGGATCGAATCCCACAATGCGTCGACTTAGTGGCCAACTTCTTAACCCTCGCAAGGCGAGGGGGGTTGATGCACCCCCCCTCCCCCCGAAGATTTTTTTGCAACTAGCGTAAACACGGCGCCCGTAGCGCCGCCAAATTTGGCATACCGCCATGGGCGTCGCCACCACTACGGACACTACGGACAGTGTCCGTACAAGTTTTGGAAGGTCCGAAAACTTATACGGAATGTCCGTACAAGTTGCGACGACCGAGAATGAGCTTTGCAGGAAAAATGGAATGCGTGAAAGCCGATGATACCCAATTTTAAGGTCCTAGGTCATCGGGTGTCCTTCCAGGTCAGGTCAATGACCCGAAAACCGGGAAAATCGGGACCTGTTAGAAAGTCGTAAAGTGTGGCTGCTACGTGGTTTTCCGGGGTGCTGATCACGAATATCGTGTTAGTTTTGATCAGAGATGATGTCTTTAAGCATTTGGACCATGTCGGGTCAGGTCAGGTTAGGTCAACCGGTACGGGTTGTGACGGGTATTCGTAATACGCGTCAACCGCCTCTGACAGCTTCCTAACATGTTACGAAGGCACCAAAACTAATTCGTAAATGTTCAAATGGTTGCTATATTCGAATTCAGTTTCAAAAACTAGTCTAGAAACATGTACAACTCGAAAAAGTGAACCGAGGTCACCCGAGGTCACCAAAGGTCAAAGACCTGACCTGACCTTCAGGTGACCTTGACACCCACCATAATGTATAGGATAGGAGCAACATCAAATCACATGTTTGAACGTTTGAAACCACGAAAAGCTTGCAAACGTGCGGCTAATGCGAGCCGACATACGCCGAATCGCGATTCCGGCCAAACATGGTCTCGGAAAAGAGGTCACAGGTCAAAGGTCATTTGGGTCAGGGTCATGAAATTTTCAGGGTAGGTGCAAAATTGATCTATGCGAGGGTACTGAAAGTGTCGTCGCGATCAGCCGCTTTTTACGCGAGTTATTCGCGAAAAACCTTAGGGGGGTTGCATCAACACCCCCCCCCCCGCCCTGTGCCGGCGAGGGTTAATACTGAATGA